ATGAAAAAAAAAAAAAAACCAAGGGAAAGCAAATACAAGAAGTTATGTCGGTTGATGATGCTGATTAGAATTGGCCATGATGCAAAAAATGTAAGAAGTTATGTGCAATTTTCTCGAATTAATGAAACAAAGAGGAACTCTATATGCTGATTTCAGTTCAAAATGGGATAAAACTATCCCTGAGGCATATAACCTAACTACTACAGGTCCAATTATCTTCCAGAATTACACAATCCGTTCAAAACTTGAATCTTTTCGCAAATCGCATTGCTCAAGATTCAGTACTCATCACAACGCAGTGAGTAACAATTTTGAGGGGATATCCATAATTTGGAAGATAAATAGAGTTTTTACCAGTTAGACCAAACCTCCATAACGAGCATACAGACACACAGATAAAACTACACCCTACATGTACAATACCGCGCGGGATGTTATTTTTCTCGAAAAATTTGAAGTAAAACAACAACCAGGCATTTCACTATACAAGACATAAACAAACGAGAAAACGATAAAAAAAAAAAAAAAAGTTGCACACAGAGATACAAGCAAAAAGAGTAAACTGTAAAGACCTCAAGCTCCTCTAAATCATCATTCTTCGGTTCAACCCTCGAGCACATGGGCCAATCCCCTGCTGCTCCAGCTACTCCTCCTCCCGCTTGCTCTGAAGTCAAAGGCGGAGATAATCCACTTCCTCCCGTTTCATCATTTTTCGGGATTTCGGTCTTTGACTGTAGATCATCATCCATAACCCCATCAACAACTTCCGAAGAACCTTGTTGATTAACAACAGTTTGTGCTGAATATTGCTGCTGGGTCACAGACTTATCCAATGCCAACGAACCAGATAAATTCTCCATTGTGCCACTAAACTCGGGTTCCATTCGCCTGGATTTTTCCCTCGTTACATCCACAGAAGTTGCATCACTATTGACAAATGCACCACTCAATGACTCACTTGGACTTATTCCCCGGCTCATATTATCCTCCTGCTGTTTTCTTTTCTTCCTGGTCAAAACTGAGCGGCCCTCGGCAGAGGTCCTGGCAGGTGGGGAAGGGCGGACCCCACCGGGAAAAACAAATCCAGGTATGTCCTTTCGCTTGACGTGGCACACATGGATCCACATTGAAGGCTTCCAGAAAGAGTAAGCATACACATCTCTTTTGAAATCCTCAACTGTCATTCTTATGTCAAATTGTTCACCTTCCTGAGGGTTAGCGCCTTGTTTTCTTCGTAAGCCCATGAAATAACTGTGGTGGAATGGCTTAGCTTTGTCTGAGAATTCGCCCGGGTGGGGGTGGCATTGGAGGACTCCACTAGTGTCTCTTTCTATCTGGGATTATATTGACCCAACGACAAATATTAATGTGTTAAATATAATGAGACAACAATTAACAAAATTATTAAATGAATGATTTAGTGGACAATTTGGTGTAAAAAAACCTTTAGTGTGAGCAAGCGTATTCTGGACTCGACCCAGCCTTTCCAGTTCATCATGTCCTCGTCGTTTTCTGTAGCAATATCTATCTGGAGGTAATTTTTGTATGCTTCAAAGAAGGCAAAAGGCTCGAAAAGGGCGGACCAGCTGGACTTGTTTGCTTCTATTGCCTGCCAGACATGATAACTAATTAATAGGGGAAAAAAAAAGAAAAAACAAAACTATTACTGAAAAAAGAATTCAGTACAAGTATGAAAACTGAACTTTCAAAGTCCTTGAGAATGAACCAATGAAAGAAAGATATTTTCACCATTACTACAAAAATTAATACCGCATAATTCTCCATATAGAGGTGTTCTTTGGTTTTTAGCTTCATTTTTTTAGACTTTCAGTACGGAGATCAAGCTGGAAAAATAAATGTACGTGGACCTATAGTTCTGATTAATGGAAAATAACGATACCTAGCTCAAATTGATTGTAGCCGATATGGGTCAATGAGCAACTAAATCAAAACAAGAAAAAGCCAAAATCTAAGTGCAAAAGAGAAAAAAAAAAAATAATAATAATAATAAATAAGAAAAGGAAACAAACAAACCTACAGTTGAAGTAAAGGTAAACCTAACTGCACCTTAAGCAAAAAAATTACAATTCACATATGCTAACATCCATCACGTTTTAAAAAGAGAACACTATTGACTGGAGAATAGTACCTCACACATTTCATTCCCTCTTTGAAATTCCTCCATCATGACCCGTAATGTGCTTGTTGACACATTGTAGCTAGAGTTCATGCAGGGATACGCAGGGGTTATTATGGGCATCAGGTGTAACCTGTCCTTATAATTTCTCCTAGGATCCCAAAAGGAAAGTCCTAAAGATCCTTCTTGAATTGGACAGAGCATAACAGGATTAGGCCACCGCCACAAATTATACACCCTAAAAAATCGAGAAACCAACATGCCAGGCAAAGCATTTGGGTACAATTGGCAGATGCGAGCAACAAGCAATGCCCAATTAATACCACCAAGGAAACCAGTAACCTGGAAAAATCAAATAGCAGCTCAAGTGAACAATGAAGTAAAACAACAACATCCAGATGCTCGTGTATCGAATATTGACATATGAGATATTAATTTACAAAGGAAAATTAAAAAAAAAATAATAATAATAAA